AACATTAAAATTCCTGACGCTTTTCTGACTGAATCTAAAACAGCAATCAAAAAAAAAAAATACAACATAAAATATTATACCCGAAGCATGACATCATAGTCAAGTTACAGTTTAAACAAGTAAATACTAATTTCTTGTAGTTTCTTCTTTGTTTTGGATTTTGAACTTTAGCTCAGAAGTCTGAAAATTAGAATATGCACTATTCAGAAGTTTCCAGAATGCTCCGTCAATGACACATCTGAGAAAATCCACTTCTTAATTGTTAGAAAAAAGTCTGCTGTGTAAAATTCTCCTACTCCACCTCGCTAGCGGTAACTGTCGTCTCACTAAAATGAAAACACACCATTATCTGTGAGACATCTTAACAATGCTGCATACTTCAAAATATAAAACTCTTTAAAATACTAATCAAAAAGGCAATTAGTGATATTGGTGTAGGTGGTATGGAAAATGACTGTGGTGTTTTTATAACAATCCTCTCTTAAGAGAAGATCCTGCCAATAATTCCCTTTCTGCAAAAGTGGAGGATAATAGAAGTTACCTGCTGACGCTGCATTTAAATAGCTTTTGTTAACTCAGAGAACTGGGTGACATTGCTATGATAAAATTTCTTGACTTCTCTATTACTTTCAGTATTCTTAAAAATTACAAATTTAAGTTATTCTAGAAATAAGTGCCATTCACCACATAGAAGGAAAAAAGCAACTTCCCAATCATTTCATTAAGCAAGGTACTATCCATTATTTTCACTTTTATGATGTAAGTTATTTCTACAAACTTGATATGTGTTTATGGTTTTGATCCTTTTCATACAAACTGTTGTGTTAATAACAGAAAAAATATTAAAAGCTCTTAGAGAAAATAAGAAGAAACCTAAATTTTTTCCAAGTTATTTTCCAACTTTTCCCCAATTATTTGTCTTTTTGACTGGTATTCCAAAGATTTTTATATTTTGGAGTATGTATCATCATAAGATTCCTCTCAGATAATGGTGTGCTTTCATCTAGTGGAACAATATTATTGTTAGGGAGTTGGAGAAGAATTTTAGAAAATTGAGTTTTTCCTAAATAAATGTCTTTCAAGTTTAAAAGTGCACTACAGTATGTTAAAATACTAAGTTGATGAAAAAGGATGGATGAAAAAATGTAGTATTTATGTTAAAAACTTTATTCCTATTATTTTTAATGGATGATGATGAGTATCAATTAGTATGTTATTTAAAGTCCATTGAGAAGGATTAGAAGAGTGATGTATTTAAATGTTTATAGTTTATAATTCAATAGAAATTGCATTTATGCTATTATTTAAATTCATGGTGAAGAAATGGTAGATGTTGCCTTATAGGTGAAGGAAAGGACCTTCTAAGGACCTTTTTTTTCCCTAATTATTTTAAAGACTGAAAAAAGTCTGAAGATCAGTCATACCTTTTATTCTCAAATGATATCTGCTCAAAAGAAAGTTCTGGCATTTACAATGTTGTCATTTTTTTTTTATTGTGGGACATTCCACGTAGTCCAACTTCCCCTAATATATATGTAATCATTTCAGTTAGCTTTGGCCAGAAATCATTAATACACAAATACTAGGGAACATTGAGGCTTTTATTTCATTGCTCTTTAAGTATTCCAAGATAATATTCTTGAGTAAAGTATTTTGGAAGAGACCAGGAATCAACAAAATTCCTAGAAGCTGGAAGTGAGCTACTATAAATAAAAATAAAAACAAATTACAGCTACCTCATCAGTGCTGATGCTGGAGATGGTGGCTTGTGGGGGCGGTACCTTTTGTGCAAAGAATATTCACTTGGAGAATTACGAGTCCAGAATTTAAACATCTGGTTGGAGAGCATTGCACATATTCTCAGGCAAATCCATATTTTAGTTTCTCTGATTCCGAGAGCAAGGTGTACTGCTTGTACCTTGCCAAGTCATCGACATGTTCTCTCTCAGCAAGTGCAAATGTTTTCAATCCCTGCAGTGTACAGAATATTTAAAGATCTGTGCACACACTGACATTTAAAGGGGCACAAGCTTGCTGCAGTAGTCCTGGAGTGATGGGGTTTGTGGTGGAATAACAGGGGTCAAGGTAGAATGTTGCAGAGCCTGCTAAGCGACAGCAGTTGAATTCACTGTAGAAGAGCTCACTGTGACCCTGAATGCTCTGGTGACTCCACACGAGCAAATGGCACAAAGATCCCCTGAGCCCATTGTGGTGAGTTGACGAAGATGCCCAGAGAGGGCTACTACTCCTTCCCTGCAGTGATTTTACTTTCCTTGGGAAGAAATTAGGTCATCTCATTGGAAAATAAGTGATTTTAAGAATACTTCCACCTGTTACTATAAACATTAACATATTAATTCCTCATGTGATAATCTATACCTCTGTGCTTCTGTGAACCGAAGCAGAGATTTCCTCCATTCCTTTTGCTTTGGGCTTTTATGGCTCATTTGTTTGGAACACAGTGCTCTGTAAGATTCTGTAAAATTTGCAAGAATTGTATTTCTATCATTTTATCTTGTGTTCATCCAAGGATAGGTTATTACAAAGGCTCCATCAGGATTATGTTGTGTTCTTTCTCCTTGAAGCCAGACCTCCAGACTTGCAAAGCTTAAAACAAGGTTCCCTGAGTATTGCACTTTTATAACATTACATACAAAGTAATTTCACATAGGATACAATCTGCAAGAACCTAGTGAAAGTCTTTTAGAGCAGGAAGTAGCAAGAAGGGCTGTGGAGTTTTGTTTTTAAATTCCCTGTTAAGTTGAACAATAAGAAGCAGTTCCTTTTGTTACAAATATGCTCTGTGATCTCATGGTTATTTTATACATGGGTATGCTTGGAGAAGATAATGAAGAGAAAAAAGTGTTTGCATCTCTCTGGATAGTATTAATATAACTCAATTTATTTTAACAACAACAAAAAAAAAAAACCAGCAAATTTATGCTATGTTCTCTAGAGAGCATGATCTTATTCTGAGTGGCAAATTATAAAATTAGAGGCAGAGCTGATAATTCCATTTTGCCTAGGTGGGGTGTCTCCTAATGTCTTCCCTCTTCTTCCCACCACCTTCTCTCTGGGCTACAATGGTGCAGTGATCTGTGTATAAAAACGCACTTTCCAGCACAGGAATCCTCAGCCAACAGGGGGCCAGGCCTGGGGCAACTTAAGTTTTCCATGGGATCAAAGGTGCTTGTATTCCACATTTATAGATTAATAAACATTTATTGAACCATTGTTAAGAGAGCAGCATGATTAAAAAGCATGACTTCCAGGCCCTCCTTGGTGGTTCAATGGGTTAAAGCACAGCACTCAGAATCTAAGTCAACTGCAGCATGAGCTCGATCCCCGCCTGCCCTGGAGGTGATCCACATGGTATGGCAGACCTCTCCTGACCCACCTGTTGCTCCCCTCAGCAGTGTACTTCGTCAGTTGGCCTGTTCTGCTCTCCACTCTGTCTCTGGTGGATCCTCTCACCATCCCTGCACCTCTGGCCTGTACCCCAGTTCTATATGCACAAATAGATAAATCTTAAAAAATATATGTATGAGAAAAAACTTTAAAAAAAAAAAAAAAGCATGACTTCCAGAGCCTCGCTGCCAAGACTCTTTGTCACCTCAGCTGTGAGTTCTGTGACCTCCCAAACTATTAACTTCTTTAAGCCTCAATTTCTCATGTGAGAAATTAAGCAAATTCTCTTCTGAGAATTCTGACAAATTAGCTCTTTTTAAGCCTCTTCGTTAAAAGGAGAATAGTAATAATTTTATCTGGTAGTGATTTTATGAGGATCCAGTGAGACAGTGTTTGTGAAGTGCTCATCCCAGTCATAGCTACTTCATTAGACAAACTGGGTTTGATAGGCTGTGAGCAGAAGACAAGTCAATGTGCTTCTCTCCTGCCCTTGCTAATCCCATCAGGCAGGTTCCATAATGCTCCCTGTCACTCTCAGATAATAAAAAGTGCTCTGATCAGTTTTAGTGCCAAGAAGACTCCACTCAGAAATTCGGATGTTTAGTCTGGCGTAATCATCAGATCTTGGAACTCTATTTCATTTAGAATGTCTGGCCACCCAGCGTGCCCAAGGCCAGAAAGGCTAAGTGGAAGAGGTGAGAGTAGCTAGCTGGCTTCCTTCTGCCCACCCTCCTAGCTCTGTTGCTTACTCACTCAACAGCTGTGACCTTGAACTTTTTCAAGGTCAGGGGCCATGTCCATTAGAGGAAAGGGCCCAGCCCTCTAGGTAGAATGGGCCCTGGGGACTACGCTTGACAGAAATCCAAGCCTGCTGTCTCACGGCCCCCTTCCATTTACATTTCTCAGCACGTGTCACATAACATGTCTTAGGTCCTCCTCCTGGTCCCCAGTGTTACAGGGCACCCCAATGTGAATTGGGTTGCCTGTCTGTGAGTCTTTAGCCATGCTTACTATTCAATCATATTATGGACACACTAAAAAAGGTTAAATAATGGGTTTATTTATAAGGAGAAAGTTAAAGGAATAGCCCAGGAGAAAAGGGAGAGAAATACAAGTTAACTAGAATGTCCTACCAGTTCTGCTGACTTGGACTCCACCGGCACGCTGAAAACCGATTGAGAGCCAAAACGATCATCCTCGAACCACCAGGCCAAGAGAGCCCCAGAGCCCACATGTCTGGATTTATCCCAACCTGGCTGCTCAGCTCCGCCCTCACATCCTAGCTGCTTCTCCTTGTTATTGATGGGATTAGTAGTTCCAGTATCTGGAGTGGAGGCGGAGTCCATGAAACCTGTACCTGTTACACCAGGACCATGGTCAAGTGCTCTCATTGTTTCTCTGGAACAGGTGGGGGGGTAGGGGGGAGCACTTCTCTTTCTCTCCTGCTGAGGAAGGACTGGAGCCAGCCAACCGCAAACCAGCGGGGTGAGGGGAATGCCCGTGGGCTGCCCCTCAGTTTCAAGGTTTTGTCTTTTTTTGTTTGGTTTTGTTATGTTTTTGCTGTTCCCCATCCACTGTTTTCTTTCTGCTAGTGCCCTGGCTGGTGCTCAGTGAGATTTTCCCGGGCGGAATCCGCGGGCGAGCCATGGCGTTGACTTCCAGCATGAACTGGGGCATCAACCTGCTCATCTCGCTGACGTTTCTGACCGTGACGGGTAAGCACTCTCTGTTGACCTCTCAAGGCATTGGTGCTCTTAGGGCAGATGTTAGGGAAGTACTGTCACCTGGAAAGCACTTAATTGTTGGCATTTTAAACACTCTGGAAAAGCAGAGCAAATGGCTATGAACTCACTTTACTCAACTCAAATAGTTACTAATCTGAATTCATTTGTAATCGGATCTGCTCTCCCCCACCCCATTATTTTGAATGATAACTCAGATCATTCAAATTTTATAAATTTTCAGTCTATAAATTTTCAGCATGAACCCCTGAAAACTAAAAACATTTTAAAATAGGACCAAAACATCACTATCAGAGCTAGAGCTATTAATAACAATCCCATGTTGTCCAATAGTCAGTCTATACCCCTCTTCTTCAAATTGTTTTATAATTATTTTTATACTTTGCTTGAATTACATTCTAAATGCATCCTTTTCAATAGATTGAGATTTCTCGTCATCTTTAGGTTTTTGCCTCCATTTCCCCTTCCTTATCTCTAGATCTTACATTTTTAACCAAGAAAATCCCATCATTTGTTTCACAGATTTCTCTAGGTTGGCTTTGCTGATGGTGGTAATTCTGCATGACCTTTGGTCCTTTGTGTTTTCTGTAAATTGCTATTTAGATGGAGGCCACTCAATTTAGGGTCTCTAGCTGGAAGAGAGTCAGGTCCCACATGAGCCCTCTTAGTCTCCCCAGACCACTTTCCACTTACAAGCGCCAATTACAAGCCCAGACTGTTCCCTCAATTGGTTGCAGACTAGAGGTTCCCATGATCCTCCCACCCCTTCAGATGTCTGGCGCCTGTTTCAAATCCACTTGTTATCTGTGCTTCTCACCTGCTGGCTATAAATCAGAGGCTCCTAGAGGCTCCTACTGAGGTTCAGCTAATTTGCTAAAGTGGCTCATAGAACTCAGGAAACCCATTTACTCACTAGATCACCAACCTATTACCAAGGACACAAATTGGTAGCCAGATGAAGAGACACAGTGCCAGGTCCCAAACAAAGGAACTTCTGTCCTCGTGGAGCTTGGGGTCCAGCGCAAGGATACAAAATGTTCTGGTTCCTGGATCTGGAAACCCTCTGAACCACCCTCCTTACATGGGTACGGTTGATGTATTCATTGGCCATTGGCAATGAACTCTATCTCCAGCCTTTCTCGCTCCCCAGCGGTTTTCCAGTATGACTGGAATTTCCAACCTTTTGTCACAAGGTTGTTTCTCCTAGAAAAGTTTCCACCCTTACCTACTTCTCCAAAACTCACATTAACAAGTGAAGTCATTATTATTCTCAACACTTAGGAAATTGCTAGGCTTTTCAAAGCTATGAGCCAGGAACTATGATGAACACCAAATATGTATGAAAATTACCTTTTGGTAAGTATATACATAAGTATATTTTTTAGGAATGACAGTATCACAGTAAGCAACCATTTCTGACACATCCATTGGGCAGGTTAAAACACAACAAGTTTTTGCAAAGTGGTGATCTCCCACTTACTGAAAGTAATCAAAGCGCACAGGTTACAGGTTTGATGAGATGAACTGTTTTTTCACTTACTAAATTTGTATTTTATGCCCCAGAGAGAGAAGGACCACTACTACAAGCACTTTATGAAACACCTACTAGAACAAAACCCTGTGCCAGCAAGCAAAGCACAGAGAGATCAGACTAATTAAAATTGCCAAAACTGCAGAGCTGTTCCTGCCACTTGCTTCTCCCCTCCTCAGCACAATTGAGGGAGCAGTGCTTAATTTGCTTACCCTTTTCTGCATTGCATTGGCAAAATCACCCTAGTAGATGACTGCTTGGTCAGTTCTGTTATTTGTGACTAGCTTATGGTGATTTGTGACTTGGACTGCTAGGAGTTATCTGTACTGTTTGAGTCTGTGGCTGACCTGAGCGTATGTCCCAAAAGTCAGCTTCCTTCTCACTACTCTCCACCACAATGGACTTTCTTCTGCTGAGCCAGGGGCTGCAGCACAGATAAGTGATTGTTGGCTCAGTTGCAAAAGGGCCACCTCTCACCAGTTAATGACCTTGACCTTGGTCAGTAACTACAGAGGGACTGTACCTATGACTGGAAGAGGCCAGTGGAAAAGCTAGACTTCCAGGTAAACTCCATAAAAACCCTGAGGACCCTTGCAGGTGCATCTTAGCAAGTTCATGCCTTTCATTAGAATGATGGCCCCTTTCTCCCTCTGAACCCAGGAAGAGGCATCACAAATACACTGCCAGCTAGTGAAATGATAAAATATTGCCAACATGAAACATTTTATTCATGCCAGAGTAAAGGAGAACTCAAGCTAAGCCCAACTGTACAAATGTCCTGGAAAATGCCCACCACCTAAAAATCAAACTGCTACAATGATTCCCAAGAGAGAAATTGTGCAGAGGAGTCTTTTGCCTTCTGCTTTATATGTTCTATGTCATTTGCAGTCCACTTTTTGCAGTGAGTTCATCCATTTCCAATTTGAAATAAAAGTTGCTCACCAAAAAGATGGTATTGAGTTTACAAGACTGCAGAAACTTTATCAAAAAAGTTTGCTATCAAAAGAGGTTGTTTGCAAAAAGGGCATTTTCAGAGATTGGTTATATTTCTAATTTGTGCTTACTATTTCTCTGGACACTGTCAATGTTTTTGAAAGTGTGTGTGTGTGTGTATATATATATGTATATATATATATATATATATATATATATATATATGCTCCAAGCAGCGACTATTCACAGGTGGGATCAAAGCAACACAAATGCAATTGTAAACAATATCTTTTGTCCTTCATAGATCTCATTGGCCTGCCGTGGGTGTGTTTCATCTATACAATCATGAGTCTGGCATCACTGGCTTTTGTTGTTCTGTTTATACCTGAGACAAAGGGATGCTCTTTGGAACAAATATCGATGGAACTTGCAAATCAGTAAGTATCAAAGTATCACAGGCTTTGCCCTCAAAACAGCACTGTGGTCACACATGCAGCTTTTGTCAATCTACAGAATTACAGAATAATAATATATAAAATGACTTCAGGACATTCCTTTTGGTGTGAAACCATATCTCAAAACATAATCCAATTTCTTTGCTGTGTATTTTATTTGGGTGACTCAGTCAAAGAATAGAATAAGCAGTGGTCTATACAAGTGAGGCTTCGAAGTTCTTTTCACATAGAAGGTTGTTTGTGGTGGTTGTTTGGGGTAGTTTCCAGAACATCACACTCACCCTGTGGACTTCAGCCCTGACATCTCCATCTCACTTGTAGGGCTCGTTCAGCCTGAACACTTGGGAAGATCCTCTGGGAAACTCTTGGACCTGAATATCTGTAATTAATCTAAAAATGGCATGCAGTCAATTTTAGAAAGATCACTTTTTATATCAATAAGCATTTAGAGAACTGGTTAAATAAATTTCTCTCAGAGATATTGTCAAAACAATGTAACTTTGAAGTAGATGGTAGAAAATGCCTCCTTTTTTTTTAATAGGGCAGAACTCACAGTTCTTACCACAGATAGAGCAGAGTAGGGAGATGCACAGACACTAGGAATGAAGAGGAACTTGTTTTTCCTCAGATTACGCCGTTATTCTTGAACATGTTGAAACACTTGTTCTTGGGTTTTAAAGGGAGGAAACTACATATTTATGATTTGTGATTTTCTTTTTAAATTCTGCAATATATTAGAGAGAAAGGTATGATTGCTACAAATTGTGGGTATAGGGTCTCTTCAGCTTTCCTAGCTAATGGAAGAGTCAACCTGCTAATGATAGGTGTGTGTGCACAGACATGTGTACCTAGTCCCACCTACCGGGGTGTACCATAGGTAGGATTGTGGAACATGTTCCCTCTTATTTCCCACATATTTCAATGGCTTATATTTTTAAAGCATTTTACTTTAGTAAGCAGAACGGTGTTCTCCCGTCATACCTCAAATACTAAATTACAGGACCAATTTTTGATAGAGATGGGACCCTGTTTATTTTTGAAAAATAAATTGTTCGGACCCTCCCTGGTGGCACAACAGGTTAAAGCACAACACTAAGAAGCTAAAGCCACTTCAGCATGAGTTTGATTCCCACCCTGGGGGTGACCCACCCACATGGCAGGGCAGACCTCTCCTGGCCCGCCCACTGCTCCCCTCAGCAGTGTACTTGATCAGTCGGCCTGTTCTCCCCACTCTGTCACTGCCCCTGCACCTCTGGCCTGTACCCCAGCTACGTATGCATACATAAATAAATCTTAAAAAAAATAAACTGCTCATTTATAAAGAGAAATACAATGCCAGGAAGGCTGGTTGCAGCGGGAGTTTCACCAGCACATCACCTGGCATGACTCTTATAAAGGGAAGCTACGTGTTTGGCTTTGTTGGCAAGCACAGACTCAGAACAAGACTATTAATTACAAATGCACAATTCAGATCATTCATGGTCTTAGTCCTTGATGACTCAGTGTACCCATCTGTAAACTGGAAGCATTTCTGACAGATTCTATTTCCAGTCTACTGGCCTTTCTTCACAGCTCAGCCTTCCCTGCCCCTGTATCACAGCACTAGAACAATTTGATGCCTCCCCTGCTTCTTTGATTGGCTGGTTGGGGGTGCTCTGCTGGCCCCATATGGACTCACTCAGGTGGCTACATCAGCAGGCACGTCACTCAGACAGGTAGGTCCCAAAAATACCACACAGGTTTCCTTTTTGGAAGCTACATTATGTATCCTGTATGCCATTTTCTACCTCCCGTGTCAATCCCAAGTTTCAAGAGGTAGAGCAATTGATTCTCTTGAAAGTGTGCATGACAAAGAATTTTAAAAGTATGTTTAACCTACCCCACCTCTTTCAAAAATCATTTTAACATTTTATTTATTGAGGTAACATTAGTTTACAACACTATGTATATGTCTGAGAACCTAAGTAATGGAGAAGGATGGGGCAAGTGAAACCATCTAGCCTTCTCCACCACTTCCAGCATTATTTGTTCAACACTTGGCCAGCTCTCCACTAGGGACCAGATACTGTCCTCGGAAAGTACTGAAGATCCAGGGAACAAAGACTCATAGCTTCTTTGTTAAAGCAGGCAGTGAAGAAAACACACGATAGCAATGCATTCTGATAAATAGCATAAAGAAAGGTCATGTTTATGGGAGGATTTCACTTATAGAGTTTCCTGAGAGAAAAACCTAACTGAATCTTGAGGGAGTGACCTGGGCAGACAGGGCTGTGTGGGAGTGAGTGAAGGCAGACCAAATCAATCGTGTACTGTGAGGACAGGTTTTGAGTTGAGGTGGAGAGAAGAACCCAGAACAGAAGGCAAAGGGCAGGGAAGAAGGGTCATGTCTGCCTCCTTAAAGAAATGGAGAAGGAAGGGAAAAGTGAAACCGCCTAGCAATATGATACCATCCCCTTCACCACCGCTTCAGGAATTGCTTGTTCAGATTGTGCCTTTGAAGGTAGTAGGGTGTATTTGAAAAACAAGAGGGCAAAGAGGAAAGTAACCCATTTTTTTTTTCCTTAAAGATTTATTTATGCATAACGAGCTGGGGTACAAGTCAGAGGTGTAGGGGCGGTGAGAGACTTCACCAGAGACAGAGGTAGGAGCAGAGTAGGCAGCCTGAGGGGAGCAGCGGGCTAGTCAGGAGCGATCTTCCACGCTGGGTGGATCAGCTCGGTGGCCGGTGGCCAATCGAGCTCGCACTGAAGTGGCTGCGGCTAGCTTGCAGTGCTGCGTCCTAACCTGTTGTGCCACCAGAGAGCGCCCTGTAACCCAATTTTAAAAGAAGCACTAGCAAGAGATGGAAGATGGAATGGGAAGATGTTGAGGATCAGAGACCTAGGAGGAGTCTATTTCAGGAATCAGACAGGAAACTGAGCTGGAAGGGGTGCAGAGATAGAAACTATATTACTTGGGAAAGGAAAGAATTGGTATCTCTCTCCAACTTAGAGGATAACTCAGTATATACAGGGGACATTTTTTGTGGTAAACCTGGAGGAGGAAGAGCGGGTGTGTGAGTTTACATTAGAATCTAAGTATGTGTAGATCTACATTTTGTGAATCTAAGCTTTTGAAGCTTAAGAAAAAAACTAATGTAAGTTATGAACAGAAAACCAGGCATGACTACGTAGGTCTTGGAGGGTGCTTTGCAGGTGAGACGCCCTCCTTAGCTTTCCATAAGGGCTGGATTTTCCACCAACAGTATGTGAGAGTTCCATTTTCTCCACATGTTGTTTCTGGGTTTTGTATATATATGTATTTTTATACAGACCATTCTTGCAGGAGTGAGGTGTTATCTTTAGAAATCTGACTACAGAATTGAGGCTACTAGGAGAAGTTGGGGTGCTCTGGGAGTAAAGAGAAGCAAAGACCAATCCTCTTTGATAAAGGGCTCTGGGTGCTTTGGTGGTGCGTGGAGTATGGATACACACGTCAGAGGAGGTGTGAACCTGTTCCCCTAAATCATATTCAATATTGTAAACAAATGTTACCTCAATAAAACAATGTTCTTTTGAACCACTCATCTACTAGCTGGGGGACAAAATTCCTGAAAAATAAGTTTGTTAAATTTCTTAAAAAAAAAAAAAAGATTTATTTATGCATACAGAACTGGGGTACAAGCCAGAGGTGCAGGGCCTGTGAGAGGATTCACCAGACGCAGAGAGGGGAGCAGAGTAGGCAGATCGACAAAATACACTGCTGAAGGGAGCAACAGATGAGACAGAAGTCTGCCCACCATGTGGGTCACCTCCAGGGCCGGGGATCCAACTCACACTGAAGTGGCTGTGGCCAGCTTGCAGTGCTGTGTCCTAACCCACTGCACTACCAGGGAGGGCCAGTTTGTTAAATTTCTTGAGAGCAATACTAATTAAAACATTGAGGAAGGGAGAAAGTAGCAATTAATTGAGGAAAATTAAGGGCCTATTCTGTTATCACTCCTTATTGCCCTGCTTTTTATTTTTCAAGTCTAACTTGAAACTGGAATGTTCTGTATGAATGAAGATAATAAGTCTTTGGGTCTATTTTTTCATATGATGCTTTCAAATAGAATCAAGCTTCAAACCAAATGAAAGTTTGAATTGAAGAAAGAAAAATTTTAAAAAATAGGTCTTTCTATCAAGCAGACCTCTGAAATAAGGCATTTCCTAAGAATATAAAAATATGAGTATCTAAAGCTCAACAAAATCTACTTACTCTGGAATTGGGGTGGGGAAGGAATCTGTCTAAATTAATAAAACTCTAAATTATGAAACGATTTTGGAAGAATCACATTTCTGTTACTTTTGAATCATACAGTACTCAAACTTTAATCCAGGCCCCTCTAGGAAAGTGAAACATTACAGTAAGAGAGAAGCAAAGTACTGTTTGTCCCTTTACATACTAGCTGCATTTTAGGTGGTGTGGGAGAACAAAAATTGAAATGGACACTGAGGGAGAGAATTATGAAAGACCCAGAGGCTAGATAATTGTGCGTTTAAATCTGATATATGGAGTTGCAGCAGCATGGAGGAGGGGTGTGTCTCTGGGTGAAGCCCAGTTCTGAGGGTAAAAAGGAAACTAAGTTGCTTCCAGAAAACTTGGCTAACTCTTATTTGTGAAATATTAGAGCGAGGGTCTTCTATCTTAGCTCGGAGCTACAGGTTGGCAAAGGCTTTCAAAATGAAAAGGTAAGCAGAAGAATTGTGAGTTGATCCAAGTATGTATGAAATAGATATGTTACACAAGCTTCCCTGGAAGAAAAATATAGGAGACAAAAGTATAAATAAAATAAGGTATTGGAAAGTGTGCAAGCTAGCCAAGCAAAGGTGGAAGGCTGCTGAAAGATCAGGGAAGTTGCTAGTACAAGAAACTGAACTCTGAAATTCTGTACGTGAGCTTGAAGTCTGAGAGAGGGCACTGCTGGGCTGAGTCTTGCAAATTCAGGAGTTAGTGAAACAATGAATCCGCTTTTGTCACCCAGGTAAACAGTTCTACTGTGTAGTTCCCTAGGAGTTTTTCTAAGACCTAAAAAAGCTACTATCACCTCAAATTACTTCAACATTGCTCAACATTTTACTCTCTTATATTTGGAGTCGGTTCATTTACAGTGGACCCCCATGTCCTGGGGGTACATGCCAACAACCTAGTAGATGCCTGAGCTAGCATGGTCCCAGGCTGTATATGAGACTACTTTTTCCTATCCATACACATCTGTTATCAGGTTTAGTTATTATTTTGAATGGGATTTATCTTCCCTCAAATTTTATTAACTTGTAAAAAATGTCATTTCCATAACTATACATAATTTGGGGTAACAACATCACACGTCCATATATATGTTCCCGTTTCATTTATCCTCCCCCCGACTCCCATGCTGACGACCAAGTTTAATTTTTATATGAAGCACAACAAGACATCAGCAATAACTGATAATAAAAGAAAACAAGTATGACAATACCCTGTAATAAAAGATAAGTGAATGCCGTCTCTCTCAACCTATCTTACTGTACTGGTATCTTTGCCTGCAGTGGATGCAGATCACTGAAAGCAAAAGTGTGGATAATGGGGGGCTTACATGTCTCAAAAAACAGCTATTCCTCTGAGGTTCAATTTCTTCAGCATTGCAGCTGAGAGATCAGATGAGATTTTCAGAATAATATAATTTGTAAGAATTTTATTTTGAACTTCCGCTCTGACAGCCATGCACTCAAATGGGATGCCTGGCATACTTGCTATTTCAGCTGTGACTGTGACTTATTCTTTCCCCCAGTTTAAGTGGAAACAGAGAAACCCCACAAGGTTTGTGAATACATAACTTCTGAGGTTTCTTTTAAAAAAAGATTTTGTATGCATACAAGAACTGGGGTGCAGACCAAAGGTGCAGGGTGTGAGAGATTTTACCAGAGACAGAGTGGGGAGCAGAACAGGCAGATCAACGGAAATACACTACTGAGGGGAGCAGTGGGCAAGATACAGAATTCAGCAGTGGGGGATACAGAATTCACAGAGAGCATTGCTAGCACAAAGGAAAACCAGAAGCATGCTGGACCTATTTCAGAAACCAAAACAAGTCCAGGAGGCTGCAATCGTCAAGATTAAGTTAGAAAGGCAGAAGATTGGTGTGTAGGACTTTGCAGGTTGAGTTTGGATTTTATTCTAAGTAAAATGGGAAGCACTGAAGTATTTTAAGCAGGGGAGTGAGTGACATAATCCGATTTACATGTCAAGGCATGCCAAGTGAGCGCGGAGCGCTGCAGTCAAAGCTGTGCACTGCACTGGAAGCACACAAACCTCATGCCTCATTTTAAATCATAAACACTGACCTCAAGTGGCCATCACACGAGTTCCTGGTCCATGAACTGCCTCTGTCCTACACAACTGCTCCATATCACCTTCTCTGCCTGAAAACCTCCCCACTCCCTCAGTCCTGCTGGCGGTCTGGATCCTGACTTCTGTGAAAAAGGACGCTCCTGCCACATTCCCCGTAACCCATCAGCATGTAGTCAAGTACACTGTCATCCTCTGGGTGCTGTTAACCTCTCATTCCTTTGTGTACCCATCACTTCGCGTCCTCTCCCCTTCCCTTCTCCAGGGCATCCTCCAACTCTCCCCACACCCTCCCATATCACCCATATTTTACCTCTCCTGGTTCTCTACTCCTCACCAGCATAGAAACCTGTGTGACTTTCCCGCCCATCTCAACAATGGTTACCACTTACAGCAAATTTCTCCTAAGAAGTGGGCTATATTCACTGTCATCACTTCCTCTTCTCATCCTCTCGTGGACCTGTTCCAATGGGACTTTTGTGGCCACTACTCTGAAATTTCTCTCCTTAGCAGCCCCCATGTTGCAAAACCCAGCTTTCAGTTCTCATTTCTCATCTTAGTGGCTGTTTGGGTGACTTTCCCACATATAGCAGAGGTATGTCCTCCTTCCGGAAACAGTCATTCCACTGACTTCCTGTGCCCACCTCCTGCTGTCTCTTACCATGCGGGTCACCCTTCCTCAGCCTGCTGCAGGGCTTCCCCGACTGCTTCTCTGCCATACACACTGGCTCAATTTCAAAGTTCTGGCACTTATGACCTGTACATTGCCAGTGAGTCTCAAATTTACATCTCCAGCTTTAATGTCTCCTAAGTACAAAGCTTGTCTACTTAAGTTTGCTTCAGTAGCTTTTCAAATGTCTGACAGGTACCTCAAACTCAGCGTGTTGTAAGTTGAACCCCGATGTCTGCCAAGCCTATTCCACTGTCAGTCTTGGCCACCACAGTTGATAGCACTTTATGCTCATTGCTCTGGCCACAGCCTAGTCAGCCTTTTCTGAGTCTTTCTCATACCCCACCTTCAGTGTAGCAGGAAATTGTTGGTCCTATTTCAAAATAGATCCAGAGCCCACTTTCCCCACTGCCACCGATCTGAGGTGCCCTCATCTCCTGTATTGCTGACTCTGATCTGCTTCCACCCTCATCCTCTCTGATCTGTTCCCAGCACAGCAGCCAGGATCCTGTCTGAGTACATGCATGTCTTCTAGTGGCCTGCAAGGTCCTGCAGAACTTACTCCTCCCCATCTTTTCTCAGTCACATTTGTTGGCTTTTTTGTTCTCTCTCAAACACACCAGAAAGACAAGAAATCAAGGCTTGGCACTTGCTTCCTCTCTCTAGATATCCGCTTGTTTCACTGCCTTACCTTCATTAGATGTTTCCTGTCACCTATTTAGATGGCAATTATGACGAACTTTTCTTCCACCTTCCTACTTCAGTTTTAGCCAAAACTGGTACTTGCTCTTTTGCTTGCTTCTCTCACTACATTTACTTAAACTCACAGAGGGTAGGGAATTTTGCATTCTACTTACTGCTGTTTCTCATCACCTGAAACAACTGCTAAGTATTTGAAATTCATTGCTAAAAGAATGGACAATAGAAAAGTAAGACAATGTAGTCAGGATGACATGAACATTGTTTCAGAAACTAGATGGTGAGTAAAGGGAGCCTGAGAAGACCAGGTCCCAGGCTTGGGGGTGGGTGAGGGGAACAGACTTGTTTTAGATTTATGCATTCTTAGCTAGATGGCAAAGTCTGAAATTCTGGAGTCGTGCAGGGTTAGGGCCAGATTTGGAAGGTTATCCACGTATAGGTGGTATAAGACTATGCAACCAGATAAAATCATCTAGTCAGAGCAGAGAGAAAGGAGAGAGCACCAAAACCAAGCCATTGTTTAGGCAACACTTAAGGGTTAAGCAGGAGAGTATTAAGGGCCGAAAAGAAGCCAGCATGAGGAAAGCCGGGGTGTAAAGTATTGCTGGAGCCCACAGAATTGCTCTAGGGAGGGAGAACTGGCAGGCGTTGACTACTGCTGCAAGCCCGAGCACGTAGGTGACCACAGGGTGTGCAGGCACCGGCTGGCTCATTGGAGTTAAGAGGTCAAAGCTGACGAAAGAGTGGAAGCTTGTGAGGGCACCAGCTAGTCTACTCTTTTCAGGGAACAAACAGGATGCTCATATCTAGACTATTACCTACGAATCACTGCTCCACTTAGTCGCCTACTCACCCTGTGATCACTCTGCGTCACAGATCACTTTTTCATGTACCTGCACGTCAACAAATGTTAGGCCATACCGGGATCTGGAGGCCAATGAGTATCCATCAGCATGGCCTCACTTCATGAATTGTTGAGATCACACTTTCAGTACTTAAAACTTATGCTTCTCCTGGTTTCCTCTATTAAAACCTAAGCTCCTAAGAGCAGGTGTTTTTAATTTACCCTATCCTCAGCACCTACCATAGCGGCAGGCCTATTATGGCTGATAGAGTTACTGATTTTAGGAAGAGGTTTTAGTAGGAGGCTTAAGTTTAGAGGTTTTATTTTTTTTTAAATAAATGTAAAATAACTGAACACTATCTTTATGTTGATGGGGAAAAAATCCTATTAATACAGAAGACAGAATATGTGCAAATAAATTTAGGCATGTTGATAGTTTGATAGTTTGAGAACTGGAAAATATATGAGCGGATCTGAGATATCTCCAGTAGTTCTATATAATAAATATCCTTGGAATCCTTCCCTGAAGCCAGGAATGCTATGATTTTGTTCTGAGAAGACATCCACCTCACCCTTTGCATGAAACTGAACAAAGTTGTGTGGTATTCTGAATTTCATCACACACTGAATGTCTGCTATAAACATTTCTTAGGTATGTAGCTAAAAAAATTAAAGCCCCAGGGTGATTTTTTTTAAAACATTAGCCTGCATATTTTAAGTACTGTAAACTAAGAATGACATTTTCATTAGTGCCTCCTTCTCTTTCAGGAACTATGTGAAAAACAACATTTGCTTTATGAGTCATCACCAAGAGGAATTAGTGCCAAAACAACTTCAAAAAAGAAATCCCCAAGAGCAGCTCTTGGAGTGTAAAAAGCTATGTGGTAGGGAGCCATCAAAGCAGCTTTCTCCAGAGACCTAATGGCCTTGAAATCTTCCACATTTCGAATCAGAGTAAGAACCCTTAGAGTAGGGTGTCTTTGTACCAAGACACATGCGCCACTCCCCCCCCCCCATGCCTTCTTTCTTCTTCAGTGTCATGGGGCACCCCGAGTGGTAGACCTTTCACCTCCAACTATCCAAAAGGAACTCAGAAAGCAAATGAGGTACGGGTTCCTCAGTGATCTTTTTCTGAACAAAGTTATCAGGTTAAAAAAAATACTGGCTGGTTCAGTACTTCCTGTTTTACAGAGGAGCAGCCTTTCAAAAACTTGGAGCTAGTGATGCAATCAGCTTTTGCCTTAACGTAAGTGTGACAGCCCACTGGATACTATGTGCACAAGTACAGAGGACACAATGTGGACAACTCCTGAGTGCAAGGTTAGGGCAGGGCCCTCGCTGGGATTCTAGTGATGATTCTGAACTAGTTCAACAAGTACAAGGGTGATACAGCTTACTCGATGAACTACAATTTAATATAAAATTTCCCACTTTTACTTTCATGTAAAAATATAGTATTAAAAGCTTGGTAGTAGTTGAGAAAAGCATTTTCCACCCACTGAAAGTATGAATAGAAAAAGACAATTAAAAAATCCTGAGGCTATATTTACTTAGTAGTAATTACATTTAGAAAGGAGTCAGGCCATTACATTATCTATCTAAATTTTTAAGTAATAAAGTTTGACATATTAAATCAAGCTCATGAAAATTCTCTCTAGAAGGCAAGACTTTCATGATAACTTTAGAGCAATCCACAGTTTTCTGTAATTCTTCATACTCCTCAGGAATATCACTACCTCAGACTATGCCACAGGCTCTAACAGATGCCGTCAGAAGGCTGCAGGTTAGGACGGTCAGCCATCAGAATTCCCTCACTGTGCTCTCCTCTATGATGAAAGAGATGGCCAACTGTACAAGAAACTTGGGTTTTCATCCACAACGGATTGCTCTTTTCTGTATTTCTCCAGTCAAATTTTAGGATTTGAAGGACTTTTACTAATAGAATTTGGATATAATATAAAAATCTACAATAAAGAATATCAAACCACTGAATAGCAGCAGTTCCTTAAATTGTTTTTTATACACTAAGGAGTTACACATAAAACTTAAGACAGCATGAACAACTGAACTTGAAAAATAATTTTAAAAGTATGATTTACCCTGAAGAAAAGAAAATTCTAAAAGGCCAAAACTTTCTATGTGGCTTGGAATTTTCCTACTGGCCCTTAACAGACTTCCAATTTGATATGTAGGCATATGACCAACCACATTCCCTTAGAACAAAGTGGAAAGATTATAAATCTATGTAAGCACCGGAACAAGTGTATTATCTAAGACTGAGGAGAAATTACTGGTCCTGAAATTACTGTCCAAGTTAAAATTGTTAAGAGAAGTTAGGAGATCTGAATTTCAACTTTAGAATCTCAAATATACTCTTGTTATTCAGAGTCTATAAACAATTCTGTCTGTAATTTTTACCCAGTATGCCCCCAGATACTTTCTGCTTTTCAAAAATAAAAAAAAGGGGGGAAACTAGTCACTTGTATGTATATGTTCACAATTTTTATTTATAAAAAGAATTTACAGCACTTGTGAAAAGCCAGCAGAAGACACCAGACACACTCACTTCTTACCAGTTTTGTTAAAAAGTTTAGCAGGCTAGCCATGCCGCTCTCCAGGTGATGCTTATGAAGCAGCCCTGAAACCAGACCTGGTCAGATTGTCTTTTTTGTCTTCTTTTTTGAGAAAGCATTTTGATAAACTACTGATCTAACCAGCTTCAAGTCACTCCAATACTGAAAGTATTACAATATCTAATTTTGCACACTGGCCATATAACCATGTTTTTCCCTTTCTTCTTCTTCTTCTTCTTTTTTTTTGGTGAACACTGCAAAATAGGAGGTCACTATTTTTTAGTTACTATTAATTAAAACTAAGTGGAAAATCTCAAATGGCCCACAGTTGTTGCATTTTATTCTCTGTATTTTATGAGGTTACCTATTCTACTGGGTTTTAAAATGAAGCAAATAAAATACAAATGTTTAAAAAAAAAGAACAAAAGTCTGAATATCACAATTAAGTCTTTCACAAGAAAGAAAATATAAGTCTTTGCCCCCATTTATGAGGGAAGGAGAGGCAGGGCAGGGGAAGGTATTAAGATAAAAATATGTACTGTTAAGTGCAGTGCTTAAGATTTTTACACTATGGTAAGGAAAATACTAGAATATGGAGGTTAAGATTTTGTGATTTTTCTCAGGCTTCATTCAACACATTTTGAAAATTCAGGGTTTAGTGGAAGATTGTGTTGGAACATGGTCTCCATTACGTTTCTATCGAGAGGCTTATACATGCACCACGTAGCATTATTCCGCAGTAAAATCGTGGGTCATACCAAAGCTGATGTGTGGCAGCTTAACCCACATCACCTTTTGGAGCTGGTGGGTGAGATGGTCATTGTTCTACAAATGCATATTTTTACAACTTTCAGAGTAGCACTCCCAGATACTGAATGGTCACTCTCTAGCTCCATGAAGTAAGACACAGCAAGGGGAAAGATATCTTGCAAAATGGCTTTCGAGTTCAAGTTGAACTATATAATAATTATAACTGTGGCACAGAGGCAGATTGTGGGCACTTGTTAAAACAGCACAATGTGTTAACTCCTGACAAGACTCAGCTTAGCCTTGAGCACCAATCTAAGGTTATGACTCTCCTATGACCAGAGTAGTCCTTCCAAGAATATCAGAAGTACATGAGGTACAACTCATCACAGATTCTTTCTCATATCCACTTGTCCATAAGAGGTTTCTCTTTTTAAAACTACAGTTTTGTAACTTTTAAGATACTCAGCATGTTTTATCACATTAAATTAGCAACATAAAACATTATGCTTAATCTATGAAGCTCTACTCCCATTTCCTATAATTTATATACATGTTTCTAATCTGCAAGGAAAATTCCTATTTAATATTTGGTAACACAGCATTAAAAGATAGTACACACGTGGCATAATAAATTTACAAAATACACTTCAAAAAAGAACCCCACAAGATTCAGCAAAAGTCTAAGCTTGCATAGATTAAAAAAAAAAAAAGAATGAATACAATTCTTGTTAATAGAAAAATGGGGAATAAAAGTTATAGAGTGGATATGAAGAGATCTTTTCCAAACTTTTATTTGTGCACATTCAATTGAAAAAGATAACTTTTACAGGTTCTTTGGTGCCCATATTTAGCATACAAAAATGTAAAAGACTATTCACAAATAAAACACATTAGCTCAAACTGGAAAAAAATAACAACAAAAAATTTAAGGTAGTGCACACTGACAGCTCTGCTTATCGGGACATGAGAATTACTGCGAAAATAAATAGAATGTCCTTTTGTAAAAGCAGCAACGTCATGTCTTGTAAACTTCCTTTTTATATTACAGCAAGGTTTGAAATAAAATCCAAAGGGTCTGGAGCTTACACTGTAGCCGTGAATGAATAAAAGAGTCTATTTCCTCAATCACTGTTGGTCCAGTTTTCCTTTTGCTTTGAGTCCAATGTGCAGCAGGTTTTAAAAGGTGCTCAGTTAAGATTTCTAACCAAATAAGTGATGAATTATAAAATTTCTTTCCTGCTTTCAAACACAAATGGGTAAATCTGTTCCACAGCAGTAGCAACAGCCTTTACATTGGGACCTGTGCAAACACAACAGAGGGAGAGGTGAAAAGAAGTAAGAGAGAACACCAGGAAAAGGCAATTTCCCAGAATTAAACACATTCAAGTCATTTGAAGTATCAGGTACTATTTTTTTTTTTAATCTACACTTACATAATTACACAGAGTCATTATACGAGAATAAACATTTTCCTAGAAGTCTGAAATACAAAATGCTACTCATCAACATCTACATTCAAAGTTGCACATAAACCACCAAGAGGATATGCTTGTTAAAGGAGGGAACGACAACTCTGACCCTGTGGTCTGGCCTATGATGAGGCTATCACCGAAGTTTGCAAGACTTATCAAGGAAGTCAGCAGTGTGAGTCAAAGATGAGGCTAATTAAAATACTGGGAATTATAAGGGCTTATTTCCCACAAATGATACATCTAAAAACTCTCACAAATTTATAACTTGGCACTTATGTTTACTACTAATCTGGCCATCTTTACTCTCACAGTTTACTCAGTAGAAAAAACAAATCAAGCAGGCACAAGGGAATGAGAAGATAAGAGATAAATTCATCCATATAATGCCAAGAAACTTAAATGTAATTTTTCATTTAAACAGCTAAAACAAAAAAGAAAATGAAGAAAAAATCCTAATAAAAAGTTCTCTAATGCACACTTACCTCTTTAGAAAGAGCCTGACAACAAACATACACACTCATGACCACCTATGACCCTTTTTCACCCCTTAATGACTCACCAAACACCTCCACACAGGCCAGTATTTTGCCCCCAGGAACTATTCAGTGTGTGGTCACTAACTTGCTCACATTTCACAGGCTATTCAGATGTAAGTATACAGAGTGCTCTAATTAACCACATCATTGGTTATCTTCAATGGTTGTCTTCAGTTGGTTATTGTGTTGTTTAATTATCTATTAACCCCAAAAATATAGATTTTATATGTGTATCACTTTATTCAGTGCCTAACAGAGACTTTTCAAGACTTAGGGTCCTTCTCAGAAGTCTGGGCTCCAAAGTATAGAAAAGACAGTTGGAAGAAGAACAGACAGACATGTTCCCACCAATGAAGTTTTAAGATTCAGGCATGGCCCTGACAATAGGTGTCAAACAATCTACAAGGAAGATACAAAATCCATGGGATGAGTCAAAACTAAAGCTTATTTATTAAAGGTGTTAGTAATTTTTATTTTCCCTTAAAGGAATAAAATGAAAAATCCAAAGGCACTAAAGAAATTTTCCTTAACTCAATTTTGTCTAATACGGGGCCTGATTTCCAAGTACCATCTGTGTACAATTATTACCACTGTACCTTTCAAAATCATCCTGCATGCCAGTGCTACCCTTCAATATCATACATCCAGGCTTCTAAAACCACCCCCCCCCCAAATACTTAAAAAGACTTAACAAAATAAACATTAAAAAATAGGTATCAATTATATTTGAGTAGTTTGCTTATGTAAAACTCCTATGAGAATAAAAAATGAGTATCTCTTGTATTTTAAATTCAAGATATCATAAACAAAAAAACCATACTATGAAAATATATACTATGATATTCCTAGCTGCTCCAAACTGGAAAACATCCAAATGCCTATGGACAGTATGTTCATCCAATGGATGCCAGACCACGAGAAAGTATGGTCTACAACAACATGGAACAACAGGAATGAATCTCACTAAGATAAAGAAGAGTAAAAGATGACATACAAAACAGTACATTTAAGATGTAAAAATGGAATATAAAATCAGGTAAACTAATTTACAGTGTTAAGTCAGGAGATTGGTTCCCCTTGAAGGGCACAAATGACTGAAAGGGGAAAATCAAGCATTATTCCATTTGGAATGGTCATCTCTTAACTCATTATATCAATAAATGACAAGTTGGTTTCAATATCATAAAATACCTGTTACTGTGATACTTCCTGTTGAAAAAATCTGTAATGTTGCTCTTAGAGATTTTATTCGATAGCACACAGCAGGATGAAGTTCAGGTTCATAACTACGCACAAAGAAATTAACAATTAATATAAATATATTCAGCCAGCCAAACAATGTGAAATGTGATAAGTTATCTTGGTTCTTCAACAACTCACCTGGCATGAGGTCTATTATTCTTTGTGAATTCTGGCAAACGGATTTCAAATGGCATGTTACACACTGCCAAAACATTAACCACCTTAAAATCTGTAAATATTACCTTCAGGAGAGAAGTGAAAATCAATGAATTATTTTGAAACAAAAAGGTCTGCTCATTAGACAATATGTAATCATTTTTAATCTTTAAACAGAAACATCTTAAGCATGGATGATTTAGTATTTTAAGATATGAGTCACTCTTTAACCCTATAAGGGGGCGAAAAGCTCAAAACATCATTAAAAAAAAAAAACCGGAGGTATGTGTATAATTAAAATAGTACATATGGAGGCTTTTGAATCCCATGTTTAGTATCTACTAGGGCAGATGAGAGAACACAGGGTGAGAAAAGAAAAGCACAGTCCTCTTTCTCAAGAGTCAAAATGGAAGAGTTGGCACTTCCAGGTTAATAAGTGAGCACGCACTGAGCTCCAAAAGTCAGTCTGTTTTTTATACTCAAGTGGGTAAATGGCAGTTCTGTAAGTTTAGTTAAATGTTTTCTTTTTTAAGATTTTATTTATTTATTTTCACAGAACTAGGATACAGACCAGAGGTATGCAGGAGGGGGTGTTGAGAGAATTCACAAGAGACAGAGTGGGGAGCAGAACAGGCAGCTTGACTGCAATACACTGCTGAGGGGAGCAGCCGGAAAGACAGGAGAGGTCTGCTGTGTCATGTGGGTCACCTCCCTGGCCAAGAATTGAACTCATGCTGCAGTGGCTGAGGACAGCTTCACAGTGCTGTGCTTTAATATGTTGTGCCACCAGGGAGTGCCCTATTTAAATGTTTTTTTTGGGGGGGGGCAGGGGAGAGTGATAAAGTTGTGTTTTGACTATCTGGGACTTTCCTCAACATTTCTAATGCTATGGTAAGAAAACGAGGTGCCAAGGCTGAAAATAATGTGCTTTCACTAACGTCAACTTCTGCTGTCAATATCTTGAATAATTTTAGTTCGAACAAACAAAAAGAAATCTTTTGAAAAGTTCTTAGTAAAACCACAATTCTGGATGAATGAACTATTCTCCAACTCAGTATCTGCTCAAGGCAGTAGTTGCAAAAAGTCTAAAATGAGTAAACTGGCAGCACCATCCATCACAGCTCCCTATATTGTCACTCTCCCCAAGCACGAACATCCTGTCTCCCCTGAAGCACTTCAGTGCCTTCCCATCACCTACACCTCAGAGGAGACTGACTCTTCTCAATTTCTCACCACTTCTCACCCAAACCCCAAATATGCTAG